GGACTGAGTTTCTCCATATATCATATTCATCCTAATAGAAATCTCCAATCCAAAATTTACCCAAATCGAAGTTCATTAGAGCCTTCAAATACATCCTTCAAGTTTCATCGGCGATTCGGTCTAGGATCTTGTCGAATTTCTTGAAAAATCTACAGGATGATTTCGTGGTAAAAATTTCCATATTTCAACTTAATATATTTAAGATAATTCACACAAAAAATAAGAATTTTTGGAGATCAAGAACACCTTCAAACAAAGCAATAACGAAAAACAGATTGTTTGAGGACTCACCGTTCAATAGAGTCTACTGGATTATACTTCTGAAATTTTACGGGTAGTTTCTTAACGCATCGAAAGACATTCTAGAATTTTTCCAAAATTTTTGGACACCAATAACCCCCGCAAAAATGTTGCTCAAGTTGATTTAGCGTTTTCTAGGTTTTCTGGTTTGGTTCTTTTTTTTCTTTGACTCTTAGTGTTTTAGGTTCTTTTGTTTTTCCTTTTTATTGTTCTTTTGCATTATCTAACACATTATCTTTCTTGTGTTAGTAGGATTAAGGAGTTTGCATACTTATTCCTTCATTGCATTCTCGTTCTCTTGGAGTCTAACCCTTGTTTGGCCTCTTAGAACTTTTAGGTTTTCTTATCGCCTTTGCTAGTAAACAAACTCTGATACGAACTGTGGAAGACTACTTGGTAAAGTGATTTTTAAAGAGTACAAGATCGGCTTACTTGCCTCTCGTTGTGTTACTTTCTTGGAGTGACTTGTGATGTTTCTTTCTTTGTTGAATTTTCTTTCTTTTCTTTTTATTCTTATTTTACTTTAAAATTTCTTTTGAGTGCTATGATTTTAGAATGGGCGACAATAACAACAAGACACTTATGGCTATCTTAGCCGCACTTGACCGACTCACGACTCAAGTTGAAAGATTTGATGAAACCGTGAAAGAACGACAAGAATCACAACTGGATCTACCAAACCAAAATCCAAGACCAAACAATGTTGAACTTTTAGTACCTAGGCGAGAACAACCACGTTTCCAAGCAAAACCAAAGTTCATGATCCCTTCTTTCAAAGGAGACAACGATCCGGACAGGTACATCGATTGGGAAGGAAAAATTGATCTCATGTTCACATACCATGACTACCCCCAAGCTAAACAAGTTCCCCTTATCACCATGCAATTCGAAGGATATGCTCGAACTTGGTGGATGCAAACAAGGAAAAAGATCTAGAACTTCCAAATTCCAACGATCACTTCTTGGACCGACCTCAAACAAACTATGAGGAAACGATTCCTACCGACAAATTATACACGAGAAGTTAAACTACGACTACACCGACTTCGACAAGGTAGAAGTTCAGTTGAATACTACTACAAGGAGATGCAGTCCTTACTCAATAGGGCTAACATAACCGAAAAAGAAGAGGTCACCGTGTCAAGATTCATCTTCAGCTTGAACTCAAACATCACTGATCTTCTTGACCTACATGGGTACGAAAACCTTGAAGATACACTAAAGAAAGCAATGGCAATCGAAGCACAAATCCAAAGGAGATTCCGATTCAGAGAACATTACAAAGGTACTTCATCCTCTTACGAAGGTAATCCTTCAAATCCTTCCTCATCTTCTACTCCATCTTCTCTAAAAAAAGCCAAGATATGACAAACCTGACAAGGAGAAAGAACGACCAACAAAGAATGACACGCTTCAAGCCCCTAAAGATTAAATGATAATTTGTGAGGAGGTAGGGAAAGTAAAAAATGAAAAAGAGGCAAAATCAAAAGAGGTCACTAGTTACAAAAGCCAAAAGAATAATGACACATGGGTGGTGAGTGAACCTAAATGTGAGACAAAAAGAGTGACTCAAAATCTATGTGTGAGCACAAAATAATTGAGAGAGAACTATCTTTATTGCATCCTTGTTCACTTTAGGGAATCAATTGTTTCGATTTCTAACATTAACAAGGATTTGCCTAGTGTGTTTTCATCTTTGTTATAGGATTTTCAAGAAGTGTTAGGTGATCTACCTAACGAATTACCACCGGAAAAGAAGAAAACAACACCAAACCAATCTAATTCAAGGTTCCATCATACCTCGTCAAACATACAATATCGAAGAAACCAAAGAGTTAGATTTTTTACGAAAAGGCTACATCCAGGAAAACTTTAGTCCGGACGCCATCTTAATGACCAAACATGATTTGAACAACTCCACATGCTTTATAGTTCGTGCACAAGAAATCCATGTAAATGATGAAAAAATAAAAGCAACACGAGATTGGCCCACACCATCTTCCATTGCCAAGAGTTGTCGAATAGTGTTAGGTGACCCTCCTGACGGTTTACCACCTGAAAGCCCTAATCACGATGCCATATCAATGAAGAGTCACAATTTAAGGGAGTCCAAAGGTAAGTATTTTGTTACTCATTTTAATGACATTGTAACGTACTTCTCCTTTTTACAAGGTAAGGCTCGTGAGGTTGTCATCCATACTAAACATAACTCCTTTAAGTGCGTCACAAACCGAGGTAAGAAAAACACAGTAGACGATGCACTACCACTGAGGTTTACTCTTACCTATCAAACACATACTACTATTCCGAGAATTGAATATATCAAAGATGTATATCACAATAACTCGGATATTTATGATATTTCTACCCATACTTTTAAAAGTGCTTCTAATGAGCTTTATCTTGTATATGAGTTTCCTTGCCACACTTAGTAGACTTAAGGGACTACTTTAACAAACCAGTTGACATGGTTTTTAAACACTCATTCTCGCCACAAATGAATAAAACCATGGAGATATTATCTGAAGCAATCATACATAAAGCCAACAGTGGTCGACGTCATGTTGAATTTCAACCTAAACATCAGATTACAAGACTTGTATGCAAAAGAGGATTTCAAGACTACAAGAAATTAGTTCCTACAAAGAAGAAACCTCGACTAAAACGCATAAAGACACATCACATTGATCCTGGTAAATGTTTCACAAGTTTTCCTTTCAACACATCTAATTCTCTTTCTCTTGGATTTTCAGATTCGAGGACGAATCCTTTTGAGGAGTGGGGGAATGATACATGCATCAGAGTCCATAATACATGCTTCTTTGGACTAATGTTTCTACTCGAACCTATTAGAAGAACAAAGTCTCGAAGATTCAAAGTATATATATTCGGTAAGTATGATGTGAATGAATCATTAAACGATTCTAATATTGCTCCCTTTAATGTTTTAAAGTCGAGGTCGAATCTTTTTGAAGAAAGGGAGGATGATACATGCATCACAAAGCTCACATCAAAGTAAGAACTCTTCCAAATGATCCACACTCGTCCAAGCATTGGAAAAGAAGATCAGAACAAAAGCAGACTTGCGATGACTTTTTGAATGGGATTCTGATCTTATTTGGTCAATATGTGTTCTGGATATACGACTGTCTGTCTCTTATATTTCCAACGGTTCTTGAATCGCATCAATCCGATATCGGAAACTCAAGATATGGTCATTTTACTGAAGACGGTGCATACAGAAAATCCTACACGAGATTAATACGAGATTTTATAAATATTACGAATTTCTAATATTTTTATTGATTATTTGTAATATAATATAATATTGGATGATGTATTATCCTTTAGGATTAGATTTATTATTTTATTAGGAATTAAGGTTGGGTTAAAAAATTATTTTTTAGTTATTATTATTTTACTAGGAATTAGAGTTAAGACATGTTTCATTTATTATTATTATTTTATTCATTAGTTATTTAGGACCTTTAGAACTCAGCCCCTATATAAAGAAGGCTTCATTCAACTTTGTAATTAAGATTTTTTTGATTAATAATACAACGAGAGTTCGTTTTTGCAAGTGTTGATTGTCTTGTGCCTTCGAAGCTTCTTCTCCTTGAGTTCTTTCAAGTTCTTGTGAGGGAGATTAATCTTCACACTCCAATTTGCCTTTTCATTGCGACTAGGAGGGTTGGTTAGGGCTATATTATCGTGTTTGCCTTTTCATTGCGACTATGAGGGCTCGATAGGACATTATCCATCGATTTTCCACATATCCATCCACGCCATCAATCATCTTTACCGTTCACCTTCACAAGGGAGATCTTTTGATTTCTTGATTATCTTACTTTATTTTCAATTCCTTTATCTTTTGTTTATCTTGTTTTAATCTTGTTTCTTACCTTGTTTCCAGCACCTAAAAGAAACTCTAAGAACCCTACTTGTTGTCACCATCTTCCCCTATTCATTCCCTATTGTTATTCATCGAGTCTAGATCTTTTTAGGTTTGATTCTTCAACAAGAGCAACGTTCATTAACCCGTCACCGCTTCCATATCAGTTTTGCTTTGTTTATTGATTGATGGTGAGGATTTAGGATCAATGACATTGAGAATGGATCCGTGGTGTGTAGGTTAGGGAAGAGAAATATAATAAATAATAATGGGGAAAGGGGTTATTTAGAGTGGATTTAGAGAGAATATGGTCATGACACACTCTGACAAATGTTATTCCCACCTCGGGAATTGCCTACTTCATTCTCAACACCCCAAGCTTTGGTTTGCTGCAAAGAAAACTATTGTTTTCTCCCTTTGAATACAACAAGAAATCAAATACCTACCGACACTAGTCAAAGAGAGTTAAAGATCTTGGACAACCTCATCCTGGTTTCAGTTCATGTCCCAACAACCATTATTTTATGATGTTAATACAAATTTAAACTCAAAAACTGGTGAGCCATGGAAATAACTTATATATAATATTGTATAAAAGAACAGGTTACAAAACACTAACCACCCGACAACCAGAAATGCCTGAAACAGCCAATATTCACTGGCAGATGAGCCATTTTGAAGGATTAGGAAACCTGAAATAAAACATGGAGTTGTTCTTCAGACTAGTTCCACCCAAATCTTGACCTGCTTCACCCAAATCTCACAATCTTTGTACAATGCAACACTGTTAACAGTTGTGAAGCAGGTGAGTACAACAAGTTGCTTAATAGTAAGAACATATGCACCAGATGAAGAATAAAAGGAGACTATCATATAGACCTTTAAGGGAACTATTCCCAGGTAAATTTAACCATATTTATTGTCACTTTGTACTCCTTTCTAGTTCTCTTCGAGTGTTTTGGCACGGATGCGAAATGCAAACTTAGTAGTTTCTAGTTAAAAGTTACAGTGTACATTAAAGAATTGAAGGCTTGCTCCTTCTGTCGCTTTTCGGAAGCTACCTGGTATTCACATAAAGAGGACAATACAACAAAGAAATAGATGCGATGCGGCATGATCAGGTACTGCCAGCTTCAGTTGGCATAGCACAAGGAGTCAGTGTACCATGAGGCACGGTGATTCCTCCGCCTCGAACGGATAGATTAGGAGTCTTAAGGGAGGTTGCCTTGCTCTCGAGGTTTGAGTTAAGAAACACCACAATAACTGTGATGTCATCATGGAAATGGCGACGTACACCACGGTCAATCTTCTTCAAGTCAGAATATCTCATTTCTCTCTTCTTTGCTGCCTCTTGTAGTGCAGTTTTTACCAGCCGCTTTGCAATTCCCTGCTTGTAGAATGTAGACCAAAGTCAATAAAAAGGTTTTTTTTCTTTTATTTCTTTCAGAATCCTTACTTTAAGATGAACTACATGTCGGTCAAGATATTGGAATAGCAGCAACCGCAAAATGTCATATCTCATGTAACAAAGGAAATATTTTCAAGATAAGGATCAGCTTCATTAGCAACTTGAATTCTATATTCTAATATCTATAATCAGTAGCCAACTAGAAAAGGCTTTCATACTCGAAATCAAATGAAGTGTCAGAGGGATAAGAGAAAAGATTACAATTCATGACAAGATACATGACATTAAACATCGAGGCATTAACTTACTCTTCGTGGATGATTCTGAACTATATCAACAGCTTCTTGATTGCTAAGGTGCTCCCAGAGCCCATCAGATGCAAATATCACAAACTGATCATGTGGCTGCAGCAGGTGCACTGATATTGATGGGTCTGAGCTCAAAATCGGCTTTATGAAAGGTTCGCGAAGCCGGAATTTAGGATACAAAGGCTCCCTGTTGAACTCAGCCCTTTTCAAATATACATCGCCAATAGATCTGGAAATCTGTAAGGTTTAGAATTCTATCAATACAACATACTATGAAAACCAATATCAACAAAATTACAATTCTGTACTGCTAGACAGATAGCTCGCACTATTTTGGTGATTGACTTGGAATATAGGGATACATGGCAGATCAATGGATGACCATGATCAAAACACAATAAAAAAGCTTAAGGTTGCAAAGCTTTCCAGCAACAGCCGGTAAGCTATTTATCCCTTCCAATCATCTTTGTTAATTACCAAGTTTTCTCGTAGTAAAAAATATTTCTTATTTCCTTTTTCCTTTTAAGCTTTACAGATAAACCCAAGCATCCAACTGTACCTATTCTTCCCCTAAATGGGGCCACCTTATATTTACCTTATTGAGAGAGAAAATATCATGCAGCTGATATAATCTTTTTTCTAACAAATCAAAACCCTTCTTTCGCTTGAACATGTCTCGGAATTGTAATCATAAAAATCCATTTTTTTCTCCAAAAACACTACAGGCCTGTTTTCAGTTCTTATTTTGAAAAGTAGCAGATACTCTCTTTCCAGGTTCATTCTTCTTCCCTAAAATTGTGTATGATAAAATAAAGTTTTCAAATATTTATAGCAAGCAAGCTTGATATTTCTCAGCCTGAACAAGAGCTGGTTCAAGCTCTCTATGAGTCAGCAGCACATATGAACGTAAGTAATACCTGGTCCTTTATTCACATGGTTATTCTTGTAGACAAAAGAGATATAAGCCATAAATAAAAGCATGTCTTACTTCATTTCATTTTTTTTTCCTACACACTCATCACAGCTAGGAAAAAGTGTCAAGAACTCGATGTTATTGCTTAACGATAGTAGCAGTTATTACTTAACGATATTAGCAGTTAACTACTCAAAATAACAATTGTTAGCACTTAGAATGGTGAAACTTACCTGTATTAGACCTTTCACACGCCACACATTGTGCTTCAAAACTACAATTTGTGGGTCATCAGGATGCAATGATTGCAGCTCCTGTCTCACGGACTCTATACACGCATTATGCTCAGCAGAGAGCTGAATGGCCAGAACCTCTCCTGTTGCTTTCACAGCTCTACCCAAAACAGCACGGGAATCGCCAAGGTTGGCAACATAGAGGGATCCACCACAGATAACACAAGTCAGGCAACAGGATCCAACAGCTGCAATTTGTGGTTTTATAGGCCACTGTTTAGTAACAATAGACAAAAAACCCTCTTCTGTTGCTCGGTACGCTTTTTGTATTACATCAACTGACATTGTCTGTTGCTCTGATGCGAAACCTGAACATAACAAATTTTACAGAACAAGAAACATAATCGGTAAAAAAGTGCAAGATAAATATGTCAAAGATGAAAGCGAGCTCTACGGCAAGAAATAAGCAGCGAGGCAAAAAATAACTGAAGGACAATCAGGAACCTATAAGCATTTGGACTCAGAACAACAAACCATAGATACGGTGCAACAAGTTCACCACGGAAATTCCTTCAATTATTTAATCCTATCCAAAACAATTGTTTATTGAACATTTCATCCATGTACTTAATCAGTAAATAGAGAACTTAACAAGAATTCAACCCTGGCAAAGGCCTTTTACTTACGTTTAAGATGTTGAAAGAGATGATCATTGATGTAGCGCGAAGTCTCTGGACCCCCATGCCCGTCATACAAGCCAACGAAAGTACCATAGGGACCGCACTCGTGTAAACTCAAACAACCGGACTCAAGCTGGCTCTGATCCTCAAGTAAATTGTTGGCCTGAACCACTGCCATCGAGAACTCGCCACTAAAGTGTTGCCCTGAGTCCTTATACCACAAAAGCCCATCTTGGCGACCTCCAGCATCAGAACTTGTGTGAATGTATCGATCTGACCTTGGCCGAAAACAGGCCCTCAAGAAGTTTATAAACCCAGATAACATCCCTCATCTCCTCCAAATTCTCCACATCTAAATTAAGCACTGAATACGAAAAGGAGCTAGAAACCAGAATCGTGAGCCTTAAATTTCTTTGAGCTTCAACACAAAAATGGAAAACTACAGTAACATCGACAACAAAAGACGCCAAAACATCGACTACAGTAACAATTCGGCAATGCGGAATTACAACTCAAAAGCAACTAAATCAAGCAAACCTCAAGTACAAGTCAGTATCTTTAACTACTCCTCAAGCCTTGATAATACAAAAAACTCGATAACTATATAATCAATAACTAGCAGAGCAATCAAAGACCGTACTTTTTTCTGGAAAAATCAATAAAAACATGAAGATATTTTTTTAAAAACAACAGAATCGGTCAAAGATCATATCTTTTTACTAACGTAGCTGGTCAGCCATTGGCATATCCAGAAGGTCTAAAGTTTCACATTTGAGAACTTTAAACAGCCATGTTTCACATATCCCTTAAAACCCATTAATCGTCATATTTCAACTCATGATTCCCACATTAAAAGTTATAAATTAATAAGAAAAAAAAGGTCACCTTTTTTAAAACAAATTGACCACTTCGGTTTGTACTTTGAAAGGAGAATCTGGAACCATAAAAGGAAAAGGCTTCATGCGAGCTCAAAACCAGAACCAATAGATCTATGGATCAATCACATCAAAAGAGAGGGAAAACAAAAAAACAAAGTTTTGTTTTTGATTTGGGTGGTTTCAACTAGTGATGAGATAATTGAAGTAGAAGAACAGAAAATAACAGAAAAATTGAAATGGAAGATTTTTTATTTTTCCCTTTTCTTTTCTTCATTATTCTTCAGAAAGAGGGTCTTTTTACTCGTTTTTATAAGTAAGATTTGGCGTTTGGCCCCAAAAAAACTTTGTAAAAAAAATCTCTTTCCTCTTCCCCCTTATTTGTTTCTCTTCCTTCTAATTCTCAGCAGACAAGACCCATTAAAAAACAGCAAAGCAGAGGTCCATTTTTGGGCTCTACACCCATAATCCGGTAACAGAGGGAGAAATTAAAAAAAATCAAAAGAAAAACTCTTTGAGTAAGGAGTAAATGAAAATCGAGTTAGAAGAAGGATCTATCAATTTCTTTCTCATTATTTTTATTAATAATTATGTGCCATTTTAGTATTTATTTGTATTTTTATTTCATGTATAATAATGTAAAAGATTTTAGAAATTTGGAAATTTAAGTTAGTATGTATAAAACATTAAGTATATTTAATTGGTTGATTAAATTGTTTATCTTCACTATGTGAATATTAGTATTGTTTATTTTTAATCAACTCTAAATATATTTTCTATTTAAAATAATTATATATTTGGGGTGTTTGACAAACAATATTTTTAATATATTTTAGCTTATTTAAACATAAATAATTTATCGGTAGTCAAACCCTCTATTTTTTAGTGTTTGGTAAACACATTTTTTAAAGACCTTATTGTGCAAAATAAGTAGAAAATGAAAACTTGGAAAATTCATTGGTTTAGGAGAACTGATTGCAAAATAAAATATTAAATGATATATTTGACTTTATCATTTTTATAATTATATCATTGCCATAAAATTTAATATAATGAAATAGCCTACATCCTAATATATTTTAGTAAAATTTTATTTTATTATTCTAGTTTTTAGTTGTATATTCTCAAATAATTTTAGTTAAGAAAATATAACAAAATTTGAAAGTAAAAAAATATAATATTGATATTTTATACAAGGTTAATAACATGTATCAACCTCACACGATTAATATTTTTAAATATTAATATAAAAAATATATTCAAAATTTTCAAAAATATTCACTAATTTTCTTATTTTTAATCTATTATAAAAAATATTGTATCCGAATAATATCACATCAATAAAGACTAAAGTATTATAAAATATATATGTAATTAACAACTAAATGTATCATATTCTTATTTGTCATTTTACCCATATCACCTATCAAATAAATTTTACAAAATACTTCTATATACACAATTAACCAAATTAATTTCTCAAATCAACTAATTAAATCAGTTGATCAAATCAACTACTGAATCAGCTACTAAATATCAACTATAAATTGTACTCCATCCATTACTTCAATGGTACAGAGTGGAGGCAAAGGAATGTAGTGGTGGATCAATGGTACTCCATCCATTCATAGTGGATGTGTACTTTATTTGCATTGAATATGCACCATTACTTCAATTTCAAACACACCCCCCCCCCCACACACACATAAACATTAACTAAATAATTTTACTGCAACCAATAATATATGAGTTTTTCAATTCCTCAAAATAACAACATTGTTAACTTCAATAAATATTTAAAATTAAATATAATTTATCAAAATAATATCTTTAAATTAAATTTCAGAAAGAAAAAAAAATTAATGGTTGAACGTACTTTTAGTAACGTGGAAAAACATAGGAAAATATAGTTTTTGAGCAATATTCGGTTTTATCAATTATCAAAACAAAAATAATAATAATAAAGAAATAATTAAATAAATTTTGTCTAAATAAAGAAACACATGTGGTACATTTTAGCATAAGCATGATTATCACTCATAGACAGACACACGATTTTATGTTAATGACATAATTATAAAATTTTAGATGGAGAAATCATAGAACTAATAAAAATAAAACGGAAATACTTAGATTATATGAAAATTTAAAATTTTAAAAGGGCGGCCGCCCTCTGTCAACCCCTCGATTCATCATTGAACATGAGAATAAGTTGGGTCAAATGACAACACCGACAATGGCACTTTTATGTAAACATTGTCTTTATTCATTCAACTAGTGTATATTAAATAAAATGTTATATTTAAACACTTGAAAAACTAATATATAATCGATATGCTATTTACACTATCAAATTTCTTAATTAGATATTGTTTTATTTAAATATTTAAATATAATCTTTTAATATATATTCTCATTGAATAATTGAAAATAAAATCCACTCACGCGTAAAGAATAATTTGTCCCAAACATTGCATATTGGGTGTAATTGACTTTACGTATTTTTCACTTACGTGATACTGAAAGAAATATTATTTAAATAGATAATTAATAATATGCATTATTTTAATATATAGTTTTTTAAATGATGAAATATGATAAAGGAACAAGTATGAAACGTCGGGTTAGTATCCACCCAATATGCAATGTTTGGCCTCTGATGGTGGAAGCTGTTGTTGTTGGGTCCTCCATTTTCACAGTTCAATTTATTTTCTAATTTATGATGAATTGAGGTTAATGATTGTTCAACGTGTTACAATCAAATATGACGACGATGATGTTAAAATTAATTAATTTTTTTATTATTAAAATCATATATTATATATAATAAAATTTAAAAGTAAATTATAGAATCTGTATATGTAGAAGATGTATAATATCAAATTTATAATATGCATAAATGGTTCACATATTAATTTTAAATATATAATATAAATATGTGACAAAATTACTTGGACAATGTGGTGGAAAGAATTGTTTGAATAAAGTACGGTATAAATTATTTTTATGATTTAAAGTGATTGTTACAGTAATTCGATGATTTGGTTAGGACTCCACGATAATTTTATGATTTCATTATGCATGCATGGCGATTTTTTCATATTGTTTGTCTGCACACTAGTTTACAGCGATGTGATCCGGACACACGAATAATGCACATGAGCAGAAACTTCTGTGCAATCAACACGCTTTCTTGAAATCGTCATGGAATCCTGATAAGTTCCTCTATTATTGCATGAACATCCTATAGGAGTGAGCGAAATTTGGATCAACTCAAAAAAAAAATTGATACTTTTGACTCGGCTCGATTCAAAAAATTTCAACTCGAACTAACTCGGGGTTGTAATATCATAAACTCAATTAAAAAAAATTCAAGTTCAAGTTGAGTTATAAAATACAACTCGAATAGTAATTCGAATAATTCAAATTTTTTTGTAATTAATGGACTTATTTTAAAGTTTGAGTCGAGTTTCCCTGCTCTATATGATATGTATATCACATATGAAAAAATATGAAAAAATAAATATGTATTGTATATGATTATAAAAAATGTTTAATTTAGAATCAAATAGTATAATAATATTATAAATATTTATAAATAAATTTAATTAAATAGAAATTCAAAAACTCGCCTCGACTCAACTTAAAAATTTTTTAAATAAAGTTTGAGTTATAAAATAGTATCCGACAACTTGAATAACTCAAATTTTTTAAATTTAACTCAACTTGACTCAATGTAACGTTCACCCCTAACACTCTAAATCATGAAATAATTTGTGGTGCACCTTATTCAAGCAAAATTCTCCCACCACAATACTCAAATAATTTTACCAATTATGTCCATTAATTATTTCTTAAATAATTTTTAACTAATATTAAAAATTTCCATAACATGTATAATAAAAAATGTTGTAATTATTTATTATTATTATTATTATTTTAATTAATTTTAATAAAAATATTTAGTCCTAAACTAATATTTATGACATATTTCCTTTAAAGGATATATTTTCCTTTCATTTGTATATTTAATCTTAAATTAATATTTATAAATTTTAAGGGTCAAGATATTTTAGTTAAAATTTAAGTGTTAAATTAAAGATTAGTTCTTTTTATTATTGTATCACATTATTATACTACGAAATTTAATATTTAGTAACCAAAGTATTAATAAAAAAAAAGACATTAATGATTAAAATGTTATAAATTGATAACATAAGTGAAAAAAAATTCTTTTTAGATTTCAATGATGAAAGATAACATTTATAAAAAAAAAAAGTGACGACTTCGATAACTTATCCTATTATCTAATATAAGAGAGTGGATTTTAATGTTTGATTTTTTTTTGAATTAATCATTAATATCTAATTTATTGATCTCTTAATTCAGAATGAGTACGCCAGAGTTCGAACTACTAACCTTGCTTAAGGAATCTAGAGGATTTTAAACAAAACACTTTCCAAAAAGGATAGGTTGCTTCATCCCAAATTTGTTTTATTAAGTTAAGATGAATACAAAGTAATCAATGTTATAAAAACTCTCAACCATTTAACAACAAATGTTCAATCACCCTGCTACAGTCGTTGGTGTTCAAACTCGGGACCTCTAAGAACAATAACGATTCCTTTAATCGTTGAGGTAAGTTGGTTCATGCTGCTTTATCACAATTTAAAACATATGAATGTGTAACCTTTTTATGTAAATTTCTTTGTTGAAAGTTTTACTTGTGGAATTATATAGATGGAAAATGATATTTTAATTTAGGGTAAATTACGTGTTTAGTACATAAAATATCAATTTTGGTTCGTTCTAGTACTTAAACTTTCAATTTTTTCAAAATCATACATAACGTTTAGTTTTTGTTTAGTACATCATCGTTAAAAACTTAACGACATTGTATTTTTATGGGTAAATTACATCATTCATCACTCAACTATCCTCTCACTCCTATTTTGGTATTAAAGTTTAAATTTTTTTAGTTTAAACACTCAACTTTCAAATTGATCATATTTTAATTGCTCTAATTTATTTTATTAATATTTTTTGTGACATTATATTTTATTATTTTGTTCATAAATAATTAAAAATAAAAAATAAATTTGAAAGGTAGAGTGATTAAATTAGGAAGAATTTGAAAGTGAAGTAATTAAATTAAAAAAATAAACTTAAGTGACCAAAATATGAGTGAGAAGTGTAACGCCTCGATTCCTGGGTTAGTAGTTCGGCCTAACTTGAGATAGAGTAAAATAAACCTAATAGGCTTGTAAAAAACCCTTGTCCAAATAAGGAATGATTTGGGCTTCGATTGAGCCCATTACGGATTAAAAAAGAGTATTTTTTAAATGAGGATAG